TCCGACACCGGAAGCTCACGTCCGGGCCTCGAGACTCGCTCTTTGTTTTTTCCCTCACAACGTGCACAGTGCATAAACCACGACCAGGGAGTGACTAAGGCACTGTGAGAAGGCATTGGCCAAGGAGGGAGGGAGGAGGTGTAGCTGCACAACAAATCCCTGTCACGTGTCACGTGTACAAACTCGTACGTAAACACAAAGGAGAAGTGAGCTGTGCAGCGGTGCAGGCGACATGGTGAGAACTTCGGAAACATTGACTGTGAAACTCGTAACAAGAGCACGGTGCGTTCCCTAAACAAGCCCATGCACTGACTCAGGTTCCCGTTACGTCCGACCCCCTGCTAAACGGTGCCATGTTCAGAGCATGAGGTTAGCAAACGGTGGGAGAACTGATTCACGAGAGATTAAGAGAGAGTTCAGGCAAAGGCCACTTTTCCGTAAACGAGGCTATCAATATCGACCCAGATGAACTTACGTTTACATATATTCTGGGGTACGTTTAGCAGCTGCTGGAAGAGGTTTAAGTCGAGCACAATTAACTGAGGCACATTTACCTCTGAAGTAATCTTAATAAGTAACGACCATAAGACTCACCAAACCATGTCTCTTAACACGGACAAAACATTTACCATTGACAGCTGCTTTTAGGACGAGGAAATTTAGCTAATCACAGCAGGGTTCGTTGAAGTAACTTAACAGGGAACTTTTTTTTGTAAGTGTTTTACGGCGCTCTCAGCTGCATAAGATCATATGAGCGTGCGGGATACATTAAACTTTTTCACTTGGTAGGAATTTTGAATTTTGCCCGGGTGGCAGCCGAAGCCTACTCTTATCGATTTTAGACCACAAAGAGATCTTTAGCGTGCGCAACTTGAACACGGGCCCTCTAAGGTTTTTCGCCCTTGTCCGAGAAGGCTAGGTGTAGATCTTTCCTACGAGAAGATCAGTGGTGTGGCTGAAAGACAGCAGTAAGAAGGAGCCAAGGAGCAGCAGTAGAAAGGCTGCAGAAAGAGTCAGGAGCACAGAGGAGGGGGCAAAGGAGGTGAGGGGTGGGTGCAGAAAGAGGAGACGATAGCAGAAGACAGAACATTGCTAGAGAGCAGGAAAGGGGGTCAAAGGAGACAATTTCAGAGGAGAAAATTTTTCGGTGGCTGCCCGGATTCCAACCCGGTACCTTTGAATGAGAGGCCAACACCTTAACCTCTAGGTCACGAGAGTTCCCCAACAGGGAAAATAATGTGATGTCTATTTCACGAGAACCTTATCCTATACAAAATGTATTACGAACACACTGGAAGAAACTAAAAATTTCAGGTTCAGATTTCAGACTGGGGCTATCACTGCTGAAAACATGCTTGTGTAAGAAAGTGCATTTTCTATTTCCTTAGATATACTTTCACAGAACCCAGTGGGGATAAAAATGGCCAGAGGCGGGTCTTGAAAACATTCTCTACACAAACTATATGAATTCTAGACAATGACAAAGGTCAATGTCCATTCAGACAAACCAAACCTGACCACCTATCACACGCTACAAATTGTCAAATACCATACGAGTGATGCTGTGTCTGAGTTCCCAATTTCCAGCAAAACAATCTTGCTCTTACGTTTCCCTTTCAAACTACAAGATCGTCTATAAAAAGGCATGAAGTCGATTTAAACGACCGTTTCCAATAAAGGCAAACCAGCATTTAAAAATGCAATGCATCGTAATTCAATTAAGTGTCTGATTATACCATTGGTACTGTTATTTTAATCCATTCTGGGAAAAAAGAATGTCTCCTCCATCACACATACACAATATTGTGTGTAACAAAACTACTTCCTCTTACTACACTTCAAATAATGTCACATTACACTGAAAAAAACAATTGCATAAAATTAATAACGCCTCATTCAATCAACCTGTTCTATACTTGTAGTTATTACATAAACAATAACGCCTAATTGAATCTGCCTATGACACCAGTCACTACTTTCCTCTTCCCTTCACACGTATTGCATCACATCTATCATCGCATCGACATGTTGCTTGTAAATTCCCACGCACGTTTCTGTTGACAAGGCTCTTTCATATCGGAGACGTGATCAATCTGTGCGGTTTAAGCCGAGAGATCCGTCGCGTTGTAATCCTCAATTATTCATATCACTGGGGAGTGCCGTTCTGATATCAAAACGATTTATCTTCCCTGTGCTTAATCTAGATAAAGAAGAAATGATGATAACAATGGCAGACGCTTTCTTTTCTCAAATCCTGATCCTTCTCTCTGTCCTGTGAGAACTGGATTTATTCCATTACACCTTCCTTCACACACACGCATACACACACACACACACACACACA